GTGGATAATGATTGTAGATGGTTTATAAACCAATTATTAATCATTGATAAAATATTAATTATCTATCTAAAACATATTTATAGATGCTTTACAAAGTATTAATGAGGGATTATAATCTTCAGTTCCAACTTTATAATAACCATCCAAATAATGCTAATAGACACTTTATAAGATATTTACAAACCATGAACAAATATCTGGTCCATGTGTCTCTGTAATGTTTATAGATGTTTTATAAAACATCTCTTAAAGGTTTATAAATCATTTGGTCATCATTAACAAACACTTTCTAAAGTGTATGAAATGTTATAATGTGTGCATCAATAAACTGTTAACACAACAAATTATAGCATTACAAATCATTAGCTAACATTATTAACTATCATTTAATTGTTTGTTAACAGTAAATAACTATTAACTAATGGTTAATTAACTATCTATTTACCATTATTTACCCTTTATAGATGATGGTTATTATAAAGTGTTACCGTTATTTTTCTCCTCTTTTCCCAAACTTTTTAGAGATACTCAGAAAAGGCTAAAACATGATCAGAGAGATTTTCTAGTAAAGGGCAAAATCAGGAGCTTGAAATATAAAATAATACAAAGCATTGAAGCCTTTTGGAACTTTTGTAAAAGCTTTGCCCCTTGTCAAAACAAAATCTATCAATGCATTTGTCCATTTTTACATATAATTAGTTTGGGATAAGTCCTTTTTTTGTGCATTCATCTTAAAAACAATGGCGTGATATGTTTGTGTCATAATGCTTTTCCGCTCACCTTTTCCTCCACTGAAACTTAAACTTGACTTAATCTGGAATGTAGTTACAGACTGTGCATGTAACACATTAAGCTGTTTATCTGATTTAAAAAGAACAGATAAGTTAATAGAGTTATCGGTGCTTCAAGTTAAACTTGTCCGTCACACACCCGAGTCGTTTCTTCTTCTAGTCATGGGGTTTTGAGTCGGAGCCTCAAGAGTAGTAAATCAAAACTGAATGCTAAAGCTGCTAGTTACAGACATATCAAATCAATCATGCCAACTCAGTTTACTGAGAGAGTTAGATTACTGTTAAAGCTCTTGTGTTTGTGTTGGTATTTGCGAAATACAAGTGTTTGTGTTTATAGTGCTTTAACATCTGGCCGAGCTCTTCTGCTGGATCCTTTGGGTGCTCTCATGGCAGGGCACTATAACCTCCATAAAGAAGACCTTGTGATGGATAAACACTTACTTAATAAGCATCACATGGAAACATGTAAAGTGGACTGAAGACTTAAATTAGATTGGACAGTTGTCTTGTGAACTGTCTTGTTTACTGCCTGGTTTTAAAATATCTCGCCCTTCCCAGCCTCCAACACAGACATCCTTCCCTTTCTTTTTGGTGTCTGTTGTTGTCACAAAGCGGCTTTGGTGTTTATAGTGCTTTAACATCTGGCCGAGCTCTTCTGCTGGATCCTTTGGGTGCTCTCATGGCAGGGCACTATAACCTCCATAAAGAAGACCTTGTGATGGATAAACACTTACTTAATAAGCATCACATGGAAACATGTAAAGTGGACTGAAGACTTAAATTAGATTGGACAGTTGTCTTGTGAACTGTCTTGTTTACTGCCTGGCTTTTAAAATATCTCGCCCTTCCCAGCCTCCAACACAGACATCCTTCCCTCTTTTTGGTGTCTGTTGTTGTCACAAAGCGGCTTTGGTGTTGAAAAATGAAGGCAATGCAGATTTGGATGAAGCCCCAGAAGTCACACACACACTCGAAATTAAATTGAATTAGCAGAAAGACGTTTCCAGCTTTGTTCAAAAACACTATTTTGGTCTGATTAGCTCATGTCTTTTATCAGTAAACAGCTGTACAGGGGGAGATTTTGACTTCATTAAGGGTAAGAGTTATTCATAATAAGGCTTGGTCTAGCTGTTTGTCAAGAGGCTGAAAACTCACTTCAGCTCCAGCTGGTGTTAGGTTGACCGAAAGTTATGCTGAGTCAGTATTTTCTACATGGTGTCTGCCATTGACGGGCTTCAAACCCCCCTTTCAATAACCATGGAGACTTTCTCCATGATTATATCCAGTCGGTCCGCCAATTTTGGTTTAACTTCCTCTTTTTTATTAGATCCCAGAGCAGGCATTTTTAATTAGTGTTTAGTGGGTATTTTCTAAGGGCATGTTGAGTCAGCGTTTATTGTTTTAACAAACCCAAACACACACAAACAGGAAATTGTACCTTCATAAGAGAAGTGAGAGGACGAGAAAAAAACATCATTACAACCCAAGGTGTCTGTTTATGCTGTGTGTGCGTGCGGTGTGTGTGTGTGTGCTTAATTGGAACTGATCATTAGAATTCTTTCTTAATTGCTTTATTTCTTGTTGTAATGTTGAAACTTCTCCAGAGCAATCATTAAAAGAGTCTGAGTGAATGTGTTTCTGCGCTCCCTGCAGAGTCTTTCCATTACTTCCTGCTTACTTCAATAACAGTTTGATTTGGTTTCATCGGAAATGAGAACTTTTAAAAAGTGCTTCTGTGTTTAAAACCGATTAACAAAGGAAGCGGAAGTACGTTTTCTGATGACGTTATTGTCTACCTTAGAAGTCGTCTCTGTTATGTTTGCTGTTTGCATTGCAGCTCATGAGCATCTGTTTTGACCAATGAAGTTACAGCATGACATGAACGGGGTTCAAAACCTTTTACAGCCAAAAAATATAATTAAAAATACGTTTAGGTCTATGAAGGGTTTAAAAAAATAGAAGATTTGAGCTAAATGCTAACTTCTGCATGCTAACATTCTGATGTTTAACTTTTTCATCTCGCTACTATGTTAACTTACTGAACAGTTTAGTACGTCAAACAAGGTTCATGGGAATGTCATTTGTTTAACATATATTTAATCATTCTGAACAAATGGACAAATTAAATGTTTGACCTGTAAACTGTAACAATGGAAACACTCAAAGACTCCTAGGGGGAACATTAATGTCAGCCCCCAAATTTCATTGTCATCTTATGCAATAGTTATACACTTAGACAATACTTTGACATCATACTCAAAAGTAGAAAAATTAACAATTTTGATATTAAATATGGTGAAGCTAGAGAGAAAAAGTCATCACAGTGTATCAAGCCAATCCATTTTTTCTTGAGTTTTGATTTAAACCACCAAATTATCAAGATACCTTTCTTATGACCTGATAGTGGCAACACATTCAAGAAGCTGCTGGGAGTTTTTGATATTTTTTTCGCTCCAAAAAAAACTGCATTTGGGGTGGCAGCAGTATAGCTGTAGGGACTTGGGTTGGGAACTAAAGGGTCACCGGTTCAAGTTCCGTTGGCGACCAAAGTATAGAAGTTGGCTGGGTTGCTGAAGAGGTTCCAGGTCACTTCCCGAGTACTGCCGAGGTGTCATTGAGCAAGGCATGCATGTGTGTTATTTGGGCCTTTGTGTGTGAGAAGTAAATCTCTTAATCTAGAAATGTCCCTCTGGGATTAATAAAGTATGTAAAAAAAAAGTATATATTTTTTAAATAAACAGGTTCTTTATTTAATTAGCAAAATTGAAATCCAGTACCCATTGTAGTAGTAGTAATATTAGTAGTAGTTGCAGCTGTTAGTCTGTGTTTCTCTTTGTGCATCTCTGCTTCTCTTCGCTTCATTAGCATCACATGCAGCTACCTCATCTCTCTCTCTCTCTCTGAGCTCGTAGCACCTCGGGGTGTAATTGCAATAAAGCGATTATTAGTCCCGCCCTGGGTTGCCTCCGCGCTCCACTTGCATCCCCTTCAAACCAGTAGCAAGCCGCCAGAATTAAAAGGGTTTCCAATAGCAACACTGTGTGAGAACTTGCGGGGAGTGTGTCTGTTTGTGTGTGCCTTTGCCTAGTCTCTGATGATGGGATTGTTGTGTAAGAAGACAGCAAATGTCATTGCTGTCTCTCAATATGAGACTTTGAGAATCTAACAGCTTGATGTTATTGTTTGGTTCAGTTGATGAGCTTTCTGTGGAGCTCTGACTGATACTAATTTCTACTTTGTAATTGCTTTGAAAAATCCTTAAAGTCCTAATGTCATGTAATTGTTAAATTCCTCTGTGTATGTCATTTCATTTGAGAAGCGTGGCAACATATACACTTTCCTTGTTCATATCTTTCAGAATTAAAGGACCAGTATGTAAGATATTTACTGAATTAAATCATAAAATGACCTTATCATCATGCTATGTTGTAGTGCTGGTTTCTCTGACAACAGTGCAGCAGCCAGTATGTCCTCCTTCTAAGTTTGTATTCCGGTCCTGGAATGGTCTGTATTTGTTTTGACCAGAGAAGGTAGGCGGCACATCAACAAAGCCGTTTTGGACACCCCTCGGTTTGCAGGATATGAGACCAGTTATCACAGCAAACCCACAGGTGTTGGTTCAGATATAACTAAATCTACCTGACCTAAAAAGCCTCATCTCTTTCTAATAAGCTCCACATCCTGAAATTTAGTAAATCGAAATGATAAATATTGGAGATGCTTTTGGAAAAGTGGAAATAGGTTAGAAGGCAGAAAAGTTTCAAGACCGATGCAGAACTGGCTAAACACTGAAGCTTCAGAATCATGGCATACCTACTTGCACATCGACTCAAGGGAGGAGGGGGCAGGTGGGAGACAGCTTACTCCAGAGTTTTGAATTTGGAATGCAGGACCCATTTCAGGACCCTCTCGCCGATTCTCCTCCCCTCTGCAAATCCACATAGCACTGCAGGAGCTGCATTCCTCAATGGAGCAGTCAACTATGGCATTTTATACCTTTTTATAGACCCAAATGAGTTATTCCAAAGATACTTCTGAGGAAAAAGATGACTTGAGCATGAGAAAAATGTATTTGACTATTGTGTTCTGTCCATTCTTTACACAGTCTAAGGGACAACATAAATGGTCTAATCGGCCTTCCCATTAACAGATTACCTTGAAACAGTACACAACCTGTAATATTTTTGTCTTTACAATGATTCCCTTCAGGTCTTCTGACCCTGTGTGGAGTGAGTCTCTACATCTTCTACTCACACCAGGCCCTGGAAGAGACAGAGAGGCAGGTGGGTCCGGAAGGTCTGGCCCACATTCACACCTCCTTCGGCTGGTCTCTAGGTCTGGCCTGGCTCTCCTACAGCCTGGAGCTGCTCGCCGGCGTGCTGCTGCTCTCGGCTGCACGGATGGCCAAGCTGCAGCACAGCAGTCCAACCGTGGCCTGACGCGAGCCAACAGCAAGGATCCAACATGAGGAGGACTGAAGTACTGAACTGTGTGGTGTTCTGCCTTAGGAAATGGTGAACATGAAGAAAAAATTACAAATCTCTAAGGTTGTACTAAAGATGTCTCTTAACATTTGGACTGAATTAGTGATTTATTTTAAATGAAGCGGATGATAACACTTGAACAGTTAGGTTTGACCAAGTACGCCCTCTTGTGGTGGGAATTGGAGTTGCTCCTAATTTTGACTCGGTGCATCTTAAATTATAACCTGTAAAGTTTGTCGTATTGAATCTGTGCCAAAATATTTGTCATGCTTACATTTTCAGCAGTCCTGATCGTCCTGATGTGTGAATGCAACATGATGTGTTAATGGGCCTGAGAAGGTTCTTTTAATTCTCTTATCTTTGTTGCTGTCTGTCTTATTCTCAACGCTTATTTTTGTGTAACAAATGTATTCTACTCTTGTTGTTGTTGTTGTTGTTGTTGTGTTTTTTGCCACAAATACGATCTGATGTCTCTGGAAGCCCATTTCCGACAGTTAAAAAAATAAAAAGAGAGATAATAAAGTCATAATTATGAGATAAAAAGTTGAAATTATGAGATAATAAAGTCATAATTAGGAGATAATAGTCATAATTAGGATTAGATTTTTTTAACTGGCAGAAATGGGATTCTATAGATGTCTAATAGAAGTTGGTTAGTAAATATTATTCAATTTTTTTTTTTTTAAGCATGTCAACATGGGTCCTTTGTTAAATCAGTTTTCCTCTGGAGTCCAACTTTATCTGGCAGTTTTCCACAGTGGAGAGAAAGAAGCTATTCATTACTTTGATGTCTCCTTTTTTTATTGTTTGAATATCGCAACATTTCCCCAAAAAAAGAAAGCACAAAGTTGACACACTGACAGAAAAGTATTTGCACAGTTTAAAGTAGCAGCTCTTTGACAGGGAGATTTGTTTTGAAGGTCAAAAGGCGGTTTGAATACTCGACTTCTGGGTGGGAGGTAACCATCTACACAATACTAGATTCAGGCAACTGTCAACCAGAGTGAAAGACTCCTCAAAGGCATTCCCATGGCAATCTAAACATCCTGTGCACACAGTAGATAAGAAGTGAGTGTGTGATGCTGCAGTAAACAAGCTCTGCTCACTGCAGATACACGCTATAGGAAAAAGCATCTGCAGGAAACTCAGTATTTATGTTGGTCAATAGATGAAGTTCATATATCTCCAGTATGTGCTTCATGAAAAAAAAAACTTTATTTCTAGCCTTGAGTTGTGTCCTTTTTTTAAATAGTTTGTGGAAAAATTTCAGGAATTTAAACTCAGAAAAGCTTTCAGTCTCCTGAAGTTTCAAACAAAAATACAGAAGGATTCATGTTGGTTTTCTAATATCAAACAAACTGCTATTTTATGTGTTGTGATGATGCATCTTCACTACTGCTAACTCGTCTGTATCTTATTTTTTTTTCTCTCACTTAAAATCTGAATATAGTCTTAAAGGTAGGGTTGGTAATTTTCTCCAGATACACTTTTAAACATTTTGCTTGAAATTGTCTTTAGGTCCTGACAAAATTAATAATTCATGTGCTCTGAAAAAGGAACAAAGAAAATCCGTCATCTGTAGCAGTTGTGAGCCTGAAAAAACTTCGACCAATGTCTGCGATTTTTATGAACCAATCACGTCTCCCTGCTCGTTCTCGACCCCTTGTGTGCACCAGCCCACACCAACGTCACAGATGATAGAGTTAAATTAAATTAATATGCAACAGACAAGCGAATCAACCTTCTAAAAAGTTATTTTTAATGACATGAGATCATCCATGCTCATTCAACAACATTACAGTGCTATTAGAAAAAGACAAAGGCTTGCGGTCACTTCATGTACACAGAAACAAAGTCAGCATCAGCTCCCAAAATGTATAAAACAAACTAGTTTCAGTCATTTCATGATACAGTGTTTAGTACAGAAAAAACTTTCAGAAGGTGAACAATACATTCACTACATCACTGATAATAACAAAGCTGTAACAGAGGGTCTAAAGGGGGGGGGGGGGATCAGGAAGTCAGTTAGACATACTTGAGCTGTCTTCGTCAGAAGGTGTCACAAAGGTATGTTAACAAATAAGATAAGTACAGTATTTATCATCTGATATTTTAACCAAGGCTCTCCTGTATTGTTGTTAGAATCAACACCAATGACAGCGTATACTGAAATATATTAGCAACCACTTTGCTGCAAAAAAGAAAGGCAGGGCGATGCATGAATTAATTCATTGGATTGTTGAAATGATCACTTGATTTAGTGTCTTTAATGGCCTTCCTTTGCAGAGGCTGCACATTAAGATGACTTCAACAGTGAAGCCAAGGAAGTCAGTTATCAAACACCGCCCCATAAAGAAGAATAGGCCTACATCAAACCAGCCAAACCAAATAGAACTTCATTAAGTAAGACTTTTTACAATCACCTACAGACTGCTTTCGATCAGTAATACCAGTGATGTAAAACAGACTGTAATTAGGACACAGAATTCAGACATATCATTATTATTCAGAGCATGGATGATCTGCTTAGTGAAATTTTAAGTGTTTGTATTGCCTGCAAACAGGAAACAATGAGGAGAATTCGGGGGGGGGGTTCAGATTTTACATCACTAACTGAATGAAGGTTGGTTCTTGTTGCAAAAATCTGCAACATGATGCACAGTCTGTGCCACTGTACTGTATCTGCGTCATCATTTCATCTTGTGGTATTATTAAGTAACATTGTGGTTCAACACGTTTAATAATAATGTTTCTTATCAAACTGATTTGGTTGTTTTTTATTGCTACTTTTTTCATGAAGTGATATTTTAATCTGAATTTTTTAGTGTTTCCATTCTGGTTTTGTTCTTTGAACCCAACGTGAAAAGTATTAAATAAAGTTATTATTAGAGGAGTTACTGTGGCTAATTAGTCATCAGGATAAGTTAAAGCCCCCTTTTGTGAAATAAAAATACCTATAAGACCTATAATACCTTGTCTAATGTCTACCCAACACTCCCTCTTCTTAGTACACCCCTCTGAGTCTGAACGGATGCGACCCCAGTTTGAATTGACTCACTGTCAGAAGAACAGTTTGATTGACAAGCTTGCTAAACCAACACCATACAATTTTTTTTTTTGCAATGTCATTTATCCATAACATACCAGAGTAACATCCAGGATGTCAAGTTTGATTCCATGAAACTCAATGATGTAGAGTTATTTTAAGGTCATGAGCTGTTTAAGGCAAAGTGATTGACCACACATTTCAATAGCAGGGAAACTCTGCGATTACTAAAAGGCCCTTTAATAAAAAATACCTTTACAAAAGAACAAAAACTGAACATTTAAACAAATAAATAGAATGTGTCAAAAAGGTGAAACTTCATGTGATATATTACAGTGTCCATGTTGATGTTTCAGGGAAGAATCTCCATCATATTGGAGAATACTGGCCAATATTTGGTGCAGGCAGAAGCCTGACATCAGTCTTATCTCAGTAACAGGCCTCTCAGACGGGATTAAAGAAGACAGGCTTATCTGTTATCTGTCATTACATTTTAAGGTGATGGATAATACCGTAGGCCTCTCTTGAAATCCCGGTGTTTTAATCCATTTCTATCATGGTTTTCAATATTCTCCCGTCTGTTCACCACTTCATACTTGTCCATCAGGATGGACAAAACTGAAGGACGTTGCAGAGCTCTTTGCACCAGCTCAGTCTCTGCACATCAGACAAAAAAATGTTGCTTCAGCTAAAACTGAAGCAACCTGATCCAGATGGAGAGAGGCACAACACGAACACAGATGCTTCACTTTGTGATTTCTTGAGTTTTCCACAGAAACGTCCTTTCGTTTAAAAAAAAAAACAAAAAAAAAAACATTAGCCTCCGATGATGTTTCTAAGATGCAGAAAGAGGAGGGATGTGTCAGCCAGGCAAGCACACCTTTCCAGCAAACAGTAGTCCCACTATCGTGAAGAATATGGAAAGAACGAAGAGTACATATGAGGAGCCCACCACTGTGTTGTTAGGAAGTTTATACGGCTGTCCTCCGACCTCGTTGATGTAGAAGCCAATTGGGAAAATCAATGCAGCCATACAAAACAGGACCACTGTGACAGAGGAAAACAAAAAGGTAAGAAGAATCAACATCAACATTACTAGACCAGTAACTCAGCACGAGGAAAGATTGTCAGACAAATGTGTGTTAGCAGTTAGCAGGTCAGCAGGTAAATTAAACAGCAGGCTAAAACGAACAGACCATAGTTTAAAGCAGTTTCCTAAAAGCAATGGCTCAATGGTTGAAGTTAAAATACTTTAAAAAACAGTAAAAATACTTTATTAAACGTTAAAGGCTTTATATGTGATTTTTTGATCCAGCAGATGTCGCCCTTGAGCACCAGCATGAAACCAAAACAACTCGCGCTGCATTGTTGTGTTAGCATGCTAATGCTAGCGATCTTTATTATGCTCGTATCTTCACACTGCATGTAAATTTACCTGAAATGAGCGTGATCTAGAAACACAGTTAAGCAGTGAGTACAGTATGTTATTCTTCTTTTCTCTAGTCCCTCAATTAAACAACTTGTGAGGGGAGGAGTCAGCCGGCTGTCCCGGCGATGTCAACAAACTGAAGATAGGATTTTATTTAAGTGTGAAAAATTGCATATAAAGCCTTTAAAAAACAGCCAATAAACTTGTGTCAGTTTAAAGTAAAAGCTAAACGGTTAAAATATGTTGGAGAAACAGTCCAATTTGTTTTGTTAGCTTAAAGTAACAGTCAAGCCGTTCAAATAGTAACATTAGCTAAAAGTAATAAGGGATAAACACTTATACCAGAAATGTTAGCAAAGAGTTATGGATAGTATGAAGTGTAACGTTTGTTCATTACAGATAAATAGAACAGTGACGTTCAGTAAGAGTGGCAGATAAACAATCAGAATAGTAATGTTAGCTTAAAGCTACGATTAAACAGAACGGAAAGGTTCAATAAAAGTTAAGGATGAAAAAACAGGAAGGTTAGTAAAAAGTAACAACAAAACAGTTCATTTTTTTTCTCTAAGCTACAAGTAATAGCTAAGCAGTTCAAAAAAGTAGAGAAAATAGAGAGAAATCATGATCTGATCATGGTCAGATATATCCAGTAATTTCCTGTCTTTTTCATATTTTTTGGTATATAGGGCTGAGTGAAGCACAGCTGCTGCTCTAACCGTCTCTTTTTAAACAAACTCTGTCCCTTTGCTGTAAAAATAGAAACCTTCACATATCAATTATGGCAGCCTCTGAGCAGTCCCTTCTCCTGTTCTTTATTACAAGACTAAAAGCTTTCCCAAAATGAAATGCTTGATTCTAAAGTTGAGGTCAGCTCCATTTATACCGGGGACTTTCAAGTAGCTTCTCTCTTTATGAACTATAAAGACAAAGATAAAGATAAAGACAAAGATAAACTTTATTGATCCCCCACGGGGGAAACAGGTGGGAAACAGCTCAAGAAACAGGAATATAATTATTAAAAATAACAAGAAGTTAAAAATCAAACATATGTACATCAGTTAAATAAAGTAAAAATACAATAATAGAATAATACTAGGTATGTACACTAATGGATAATGGATTTAGCCTGAAACTGGGTTAAGTTTCTGCTTTACAGCTAAAGAGGGTTAGAGTGATATTAAAGCAATGTTGTCACTGAAATATAAGACACAAAGATATGTTACTTATTCAATTCTTTCAAAGCAACATTTGGTGTTCAAAAGACTTCTTTTGACTCGCCCTTAAAGTTTTTTTCTGATTCCTAATTGGCTTAAAATAGTCCAAGACTCTACAATCTTTGCATTAGGGTACATTCAGAGATTTTTATCCACAAAAAAAAAAAAAGAGGATTTAATAATATTGTGAGAACCTACTCCCTGTGAATGCGATCCATCGGGCGTATCGGGCAGCCTCGCGGCGCCAGCGCGACATCAGCAGCAGGCCACAGGTGACAGTGAGGGAGATGATGCCCAGGATGATGAAGAAGAGGGTGGTGATCCACTCGGGGGGCAGCTGCGGGGGGATGCAGATCCGGTCTCTGCCGTGGATGGTCTGGCACTGTCGGACCAATCCAACAGTCAGAGAGCCTGGGTGAAGACAGAGAGGGGATAAAACGTAAAAAAAAATAAAAAAGATTTCCTGTGTGATAGTGATGAGTAATGCGGTGAGATCAGAGTCCAATGTCTAACAAGAATCCATTAGAAAACTCAACTGTAAGATTTGTTGTTATTTACAAATGCAAAGTCTTGGCTACCAAATCATGGCGTACCAAATGTCTCTGTAATATGTTGAACAGGAAGCTACAAAAAATTGGTTGCTGGAACTCAATTCTTGTACTGATCCCTCATCACCTGTTAATGATGTATGCCTCTTGGAATGATAGACAACTTCTCAGTCATTTAGGTGTAACCAGCTGCTCGCCCAAAAAGCCTACAAGACAAAACTTCCTTTTTCATTCATTTGTTTACAGCCCAGTTAGCATCTTCAGAGGGAACCATGTGTTCAGATCAAAAGCAAAGTGAAGTATTATTATTATATCCCCTCAGGTGTAATCTGTGTGTGTGTTTTAGTTCATCTGGAAATACAAAGTTACACAGGGAGTTCACTAAAACAGAGGCATAAACCCGGAAAAGAAATCAAATTACTTGCAATTAACTGATCTGAAGTTTTGCCAAATATGGAGCTCAGCGTAAGTTCAGACAGGAAGACTGGTTATATTCTTTCACAGGTAGTCTGCTCTGGTGATCAGCCGATAATGGGCGTTTATTCTTTAAGTAATTAACCAACCAGATTCAGGCACAACCTCTCTCAACAATCATTCTGCTGCGGCAAAATGCTAAAACAGCTCTCTCTCTCCCACAGTCATTCTGTCATTTCAGGGCAACCGCTGCAACCCACCACCGCCTCAGTCACCTCCATTCCAGCTCAGCAGAGTCCAGATTCAGGCTCTTCACAGCCTCCATTCCTCTTCACCACCACCAGTGACTAGACTCCACTAGACTAGACTAGACTCCAAAGGAATCCTAGCCTGCTGTCGGCCTCATTACCCTTCCGGGTACATGAAGTCGTCACGATGGAGTCTAATCCCAAAGACTTTGCACATTCAAATCTAAATTGTTGCACATAATTGTTAAATTAATAATTGTTCATTCTCAATTAAGTCTCTCCTGATTGAAATCACATCATGATGCAGATTTGTAAAATTCAATCTTTGTCAGGTCTGTCCTCATGAGGAGAAGAAAGTTGGATTTTTTAACAGATTGGAAGCTGCACTTGCAATGCAGATTATCTCTTTTAAAAGACAATGATTCTTCCTCAAACTCCATGGGAACCGGTATGCCACTCCTGCAGACAGCGTTCTGCCTGCTTCTGCTCTCCATATGGCTGTTTTTCTTTCATACTACAAATCCAGCTGATATGCTGAAATCCAAACCCCTTCCCTTACTTAAAATCTAGATCTTAAAGAACAGATTCTACATGTTTATGTCAAATCTGTATGGAACTAGCTGACACAACATCACAGGTTTCTCTGCTTTGATTGGCTGTGGGATCCTAAGGAATCCGCTTGTAACGCCTATTGCAAAATGTATCAATGGGAGAGGTTTCTGACTAATGGGTCATATTCTACAATTCAACAATTCTATAATTCATTTAGCAGACACTTTTATCCAAGTGAGTCTGACGTACATCAGAGAGTAAGTACAACACAAGGATCTAGAAAAGAGGAAACAACGTCAAAAAATGCTAACGAAAAGCTTTAAGTCCGATCGGACGCAGGTGCTGACAGGCAAAGCACAATATCAGCAGCTGTTCTTGAGGTTTTTCTAATCAGCATCAAAACCATCCTAGAATTGCCATTATCAAACAAAACCATTTGTCATCATCAACATCATCATCATCAATCATATCATTAAGTGTGTATGTTTTCATGAAAGAGCTGGGTCTTTAGCTTTTTCTTAAAGGTGCAGAGGGACTCTGCAGATCAAATGGAGTTTGGAAGTTCATTCCACCACCGGGGGGCGACAGAGGAGAAGAGTCTAGTCAGCGTCTTAGGACCCTGTTGTGAAGGTTGGATCAGACGCCTTTTCTTTGGCAGAGCGTAGTGGGGGAGGGAGTGTAGACCTGGATGAGAGAGTTAAAGTAAGGAGGAGACGTTTTTGTCGCTGTTTTGTAAGCGAGCAGCAGAGTTTTAAATTTGATGCGAGCAGTAACTGGGAGCCAGTGTAAGGAGATGAACAGCGGAGTGACATGTGCTCTTTTAGGAAGGTTGAAGACCAGTTGTGCTGCTGCATTTTGTATCATTTGCAGAGGTTTGATAGTGCATGTAGGAAGACCTGCCAGTAGAGTGCCAATTGATGTGTGATATCACAAGAGCCTGTACCAGGAGCTGTGTGGCGTGTTCTGACAGGTAAGGTCTGATCTTCCTGATGTTGTACAGGAAGAATCAACGTGACCGGGCAATCGGAGCTTAAGTGTTAGCTGGTCATCAATCATGAAAACCCAGTTTCCGGGCAGACTTTGGTGGCATGAGTTAGCCAGTGCAAAATCAAAGGACGTTCCTGAAGATAATAACGCATCTCAGTCTATTGAAAATTGGGCCGGTTATATGAAAGTCAGCTTATAGCTGGCATTAGCGCAGCCCGTTATGTGACTTTACTAAACAACAAACTAACTTTTATGCCCAGCAACATATGACATCATTCACTCTTACTGGGAGATATTATGACCTCCCAGGAGTCCTTTTGTTTCCCCACATCCCCCCCCCTGAGATTCATGTATGACGTCAAACAGGTTCAGGCTTCTTACATGAACCGCCCAACGGAGACAGAAAGAGAGACAAAGTGTAGGACTAAAAACCAATACAAAAAAAACAAACAAGAAATCAATGACCTTACATCCGGCGGCAAATCATCTGTCCTCCTCCTGTAGCACAAACCCCTGGTGGGTGATACAGCTGACTGTAGGTGGGCTTTTTCATACCACACACACACACACACACACACACAAATCAGCAATCTGCGTCAGCCAAACTCTGCATCCAGTCTGACTACACAGAAGACTCCTCACAACACACAGCAAATAAATGCATAATTAAATCCTCCCACACTTTAATTTATTCTTTAGTCTCCCTCCTTTTTTTTCTTACTTATTATCTTCAGCACGCAGTTAGAGCCCCGACGAGCAGACATAGGAGCTTTTTACACATTTTTATGGATTTATTCAGGACAATTTAAAAACCAGGCAACAGAAGAATTAACATAATTGTCATGATGGGCCAAAATTAAGTGCAGAGTGCAGGAAAAACACAGGGAGGCGCCGGAAATGTTTGTAATTAGAGAGTAAAAATGCACAAGTGTCTTTTGAATAAACACCTTGTTCTTTAGCCTGTTGATTCACATATAACTGTATAATGAGTAAAGCATGTAAAAAGGGGACAAAATAAACCAACAACAGACCATTCTGAAAAACACTTCCCACACTATTCCTGTTAATGCTACTACGTTATCTGTCAAAGCATCAAAATACAATCAGGCCTTTAAATATTCATCGTTGGCTTGAAACGGCTCCAGTTCCTGATCATGGGTGTGGTTTCTGGTCAATGAAACCAGGAGGGGACTGGTGGGAACATCAGGCCTGAACCACAGCCTCCTGCAGGCTGACCATTCACCCCCCTACACACCGGACATCCTGTTCCCTCTAAACACATCCTCTCAGACCACGGGGGGGGGGCAATGTAAGCAGTGCATCCATTTCCCTTCATACTGGACTCTTATGTCCAACCAGAGTGCTTCATCCAATTATTACAGAGAGTGCTTTGGTGTTTTGTTCAATATGATTAATAGAGCAACAACTGAAAAACAAAAGCAAAAAAAAAAAAAAAGAGCAGAAGCAACTTGAGAATGATATTATGAAAGAAAAGCAACAAAGAATATGCTACGCTGGAAACACTGACCGTCGCTCCCAAAGGCATATGTCATGATTTGCCGATGGCTGATGGGTTCCATGATTGGAAAAAGAGAGGAGCTGTTCATTTCTTTATTCTCAAGCGAGGATTATTTGTTGAAAATGGAATGGAGGTAAACGAGAAGCTCAAAGGACTGGTCCAGTTCAAACAGAAGGTGGAGAAAATATGTTTCAGTTTTTGACTAAGTCCAAAGTCGAAATTTGTCGTTGTGAGTCTGCTGAGCACAATATGGGATCTTGTACAAGGGGTGGTTTCAAATTCATACAATAATGCTGCTTGTTGGCCTCAGAACAGGTCGTGGCTCACTGATTTAAGGCAGGGGTTCTCAAACTTTTCATCCCGCGACCCCTAAAATAACGAGAGACCGGGGACCCCCTCTGTCCCTGGAAGTGGTTAAAGCTTAACACTGTACACAGCAGCACGCACTACTGGGCCGATCCAAACACTGACATTAGAACAACTATTAACAAATACAGCAGCCTTAAACTAAGTGAACAACATTTTTGTATGTGATTTCACAATAATGGGTAAAATGTGTCATTTCCAGTTTGTATTTGTTTTTGGAAGGCATCTCGCGACCCCCCCTTTGGGAACCACTGATTTAAGGGACAAGAATGACCAAAAGAATTGAATGCTAGGCACAGGATGGCCTAGCGGTTATGTCCCACGCCCCATGCACAGAGACTATAGTCCTCAAAGCAGACTCCAACCCACTGCCGCATGTCATTCCCTCCTCTATCCACTCCTCTCTGCTCTACAACAAAGGCATGAAACGCCCCAAAAAATGAATGTTAAGGTGCAGTTCTTACAACATTCTTACTATTCTTAATCCTTAAAAAACGGTGAAATAAAACTAGAGAGTGGGGATTCCCACCCGAGCAACCACATGGCAATGGTTTCATTTGTTTACCTCTGAGTGAGCCTGCCAGCTGTGATATAAGATGTTTGCCGCTGCACTTTGTGTGCACATTAGTGAGAAATGTGTGTGCGACTGTGTGTGTGTGTGGGAACTTTTACTTTGTGAACACTTCATAAACCTAGATGCTCCTGCTGCTTCAAATCTCTCCACAAAACACTTCAGTAAGCAAACAAACATTTTCACATAATGTCACGCAGCTTCACAGAGAGAGAGAGAAGTCTTTATTCCACTTCTGTTTAAATACATCTAGAGAGTTAACTTAATGTAGAGGCTAACTTTGACAGAAAAGTATGAACCACTCATTTTCCCACAATGCTTCTCTCTCTCTGCCTTTGACCACTACATACACGCTGAGCACTCACAGCCAAAATAAAATACGTCATCAAGAGTGAGCCTGAGGAGGTTTTAATCCTCCAGGCAGAAAACATTACTCTCCCAGGAGGCCTAATTAAAAGTCACACATCTTCATTCCCATCAACACTTCCTGCCTTCAGGTGATTACTGTTTGGATAATTAAACAGGAAAAATGGGCTTTTAGTAAAGTAAGCACATTAATTTCACAACACCACGTACTTTAGTTCATTTGTGAAAACAGATTCAGAGTGTGAAATACTTTAATCACGAGTCAAGAGAACTGCTCGTTACTTACTAAACTTGTAGCTGAGTCTTTTTTTTTTCTTACAACAAGCGAGACCCCGTAACAAAAAGCGTGCATGCTGGTTATGTGCTTTATGCAGCTGTGCATACACTGAAGAGGTTTGTTTGCAGGTTGCATCAGTTGCAGTCTATGTTTAGCTTTTGGACTTTGCATCTGAATATGAATCTTTTGCAATAACAACGGGGCCTGACTGTTAATAGAAGACAGTAGGATTGGCTCAATGCTTCAACACAGTGCTAGTAATTATTGGCTGAACTGTTAAATAATCATACTGCTGATAAAATCATTATTTTTATACCCAAACAAGGTAAGCATATGAGAAAACATCAGGAACATCATTTCAGACCTAACAACTGTCATTTGTACCTGGTGGTGAATAACTCATTTATCTGAAATGCCTTAAAAACACGATTTGAAATCTCTTGTCTTATACCATCGTTATTATCATATCTACGACTGAATATGAAACAATCAAACTGGTGAAATGATCCTCAGGTTGTTGTATAGCGCATTTTGTTGCCTCAGGTTGGAGCCATTTGACATCTGATAAACTGAGTTAGGAGTAAAAGTTTGAAAATGAAAAAAAAAAAAAAAAGGTAAAGGTAGGTGCAGAGAAGAAGTCCACTTGTCATCGTTGATTATGGCGAGGAGCAGTTCATGGCTATATTAGCTGCTTCTAGCATGGAACACCTTTAAACTCTGAACGTTTGTAAGATGCATTGTGGGTAATGTAGGAACTCAGATTTGACAGGGAAGAAGAATTCCTCGACTACAAAAGATGCTGGTTCTGGTTCTGCTGTAATCCAAAGCCTTACCATTATGAATAGCGATGTTATAAGAGGGCTTTGCTTATTCTGCGTACCACAAGAGAAAAAATAAACATATTTCATCTGGGGAAAAGATGGCCTGGTATTACCAGATTTGACTGATGGTAGTTTTGGTAACTATGGTCACATTTTGATGAAAGGATTAAAACCCTGATTGGTGCTTCAACAAAGTGTCCCCCCCATTCCCAGATGATCCATTCCTCTTTCAACCAAACAGAAAACTAGATCCTAACACAAAAAACTGAAATCAAACATGTTATGTGACAAAATCTGTTTAAACTTTGTGAGTTATTTATGTTAATTTGAGCTGAATGGCTAACATTAAGAAGCTGACTCACCCACGGAGGAAACTTGGGTTATGAACTTGTGTACTGTTGCTTCATTAAGGGGTTAAAAAGTCACACACAGGGGATACACTCCATTGGAAAGTTAGTATGGTTTGTGTGTAACTGTTGCCTTTAAGTTCTTTGAAATCAGCTGAAATCTCAGTCTAGTCACTCTTTCACAATATCCCATCTTTACTGACCTCTGACACCCATTGGTTTTTACTGCTGTCTGCAAAGCATATCCGACCTGTTTCACCTAAAAACGGAGCCTAACCTTAGTTTCCATTTCTTTAGAAGCGATAATAAACATCCTACCAGCTGAGTCTCCGGTGCTGATCCAGTCCGGGTTGACGATGCTGGCGATGGCAAAGATGTCTGCAGTGAGGAAGAGGCATCCTGAGATCACCGTGAGTTTATCCATGTCTCTGGGCGCAGGATGAGCACAGAGTGTGTGTGTGCCTCTGTCTCACCTGGAGGGAGGCGGGACATCTAGCACCTCAGTAACCTTAAAGCCGCAAATCTCCTGTTCCATCGTCATCCCAGCCTGGGTTCCGTTTGGGACCTTTTCGTGATGGCGATGGGCTCCACATTCTGTCCGCACATCGTGTCCATTTTTTCTCCCTGGAAGGTGATACTTGCAGTCTGTTAGTAAAAATTAGGAACGATCCCCTGATATAAGTCCAACAAACAGCCGGCGGACGTGGGGCGACCTGCTGGCTCCTCTCCAGCCCAGGAGGAGACGGTCGCAGCCCGGGATCATGGGTAACTTCGCTCTGGATGCATCCCCCAGTCACATTAACAGGAAGCAGGTGCAACTTCTACCTTGTTTTATTGGTTTTCTTTAATTGCTAATCAAATCCCGAGCGATGCAGACGGATTCATGCATGCAGTCGACTTGTTTCCTGAGTCTGCATGGAGCTGGGTCTTTTCCTGTGGAAGCGCACACTCAGATAAACGCATCACATGCTCACATTAAAGCGCTTTTTCTGAACCTTTCAATCTCCTCACACAAGCAGAAAGCTGTCTCTTCAATTCTTCAACAACCCTCCTGCACGTAATGTGAGTGTTTCCTGCAAGACGGATGATTTCCTCTCAGCAATGGAAACTAAAAATGCAGCCAGTTCACGTCTCCATGGCTGTAGTGGGCAACTCTCGCGAGAAATTGCGTGACCGGCGGCGGACGCTGCTTGTACGCTTTTTACATCATCACAAATTATGAAAGGTCAAGGTGTGCCGTGTAATCGTGTGAAAGTGTTGCTGGAACGCGTCTCAAGACAGGACTATTTAAGACAGAACCTAACACTTATAAATTAAAGGGATGAAACTAAAAAAAGCATTAGACAATTTAAAATAAAGATCTCACATCCACATTTTGACTGTTTTGACAAGTTTGATCATCATCAGTTAATTTCAGCTGCCTAAGAGCTCCAACTGTTTTAACTTTTCATGACTCCGAACAGATCTTGGACTCATCCATGTTGTCTCAATACTCTCATTTAATTTTTAGTTTCGTATTTAATTGTGGAAAGATTCCCAGATTAGTTTTTTTAATGAGCGCAGCATGTGTGGATTTTTCCTGCCAGCCAACTTGTAAAATTGTGTTTGAACGCAGCAGGTAATATTCAGTATCACGTGTAGATCTTGCAACCAGCACACAACCTGTGTAAGTGATCCTCATGCATATAATGAAACTGCTTCATTATGTTTTCTGCTCCCCGGTATGTTCTTCTCTGCCCTTTAATTTATACTGTTTATATCTGTTTAATGACATGTGTGACGACCCTGCTGGTTCCTGGTCCCCTGTGTCGTCTTTCTTTTGTTTCAGGTGCCAGAGGGCGTGGTCTGTGGGATCGGGGACTGATTGACAGTGGATTTCTCAAAAAGTACACAGTAAATGTACTTCATATTACTTGTGCATGTAGTCTAAGAAGTACTAAGTCCAACCATATCAGAATCATTGTCTACTTATGGAAGAATGTTTTTTTACAAGACATCAAAGTCAGAAAAAAAGACTCATTATAGTGAAAGAACTATAATGACTATATATATATTTATATATATATACATATATATATATATGTAAGAACATGTTTTTTTTTCCCAGGAAAACACCTTATTTTGAAAAACGGAAGTTACCGCAGACTCGCAGTATTATTCTCAAACTAATTTCACCGACCTCTGAAGCTTTTCCCTGAACAGTATTTTGTTTGCTCCCGTTTCATACACGTGTATCTCATAGTCAGTTTTATGATAAGACTTCTGTTTCTCCTGCTCGCTCTGGAGCATTTACCATAAAGATCAGAATACGTGAGCACTTCAAATTTCGGGGCGGCTCACTTCACCAGGTAAACTCGAGGAGCGGCTGGCTTCACCGCAGTAGTCAAAGTGTATGTCGAGTTTTTCAAAACACCACAACAGCTTTAGCCTAACTGGATTAATGTTACGATGTAAACGCTTCTCGGCTGTGTATTATGCACATTCATTTAGCCTGTCACTGAAAATGCTGGGTCGGCTTTTTCCCAAACCACTGAGCTCCAACTGTCAGAGAGCCATGTCTGCTCTGTGTTAGTTAGTTAGTTAGTTAGTTAGTGTACAACAAACTAGGCTACGGTTATGATCTTATTCAGTAGGCCACTTTGTGTGTTGTTTTCTCTGTATTAACTGCCTTTTTGATTTTCTATCTGTTAGGCTACTATCCCGGAGTGGGACGTCCCATAATCCCCCCTGAAGATTGATCAGACAGCGACACCTATTGGCATTGTGATGGGACTGCAGGTACTATTTTGAACACAAAACAGCAAGGAAACGGTTTCTCAAAATAATAATAATATAAACACAAAATAATGGCATTAATGGCAGATTTGAACCGACATATAATCAGATACAGATGTTACTTTTTCAGAAGCAGCAAGCAGACCAAAAGAATAGAATAAGATTTTTGATTCAGTCCAGATCCTCTGTTGTTACAGAGGCATTTAGCAGCAGACCAAAAAGACACATTTGCTGGTTATTTTAAGCCACATGGGAGGATTTAAAGTGAACACAGCTCCTGGTTGAAGTTTAGATGAGTCTTCTTGGTTCCTGTTGTGTTTATTTTCTGTTGTTTTCTTAAGCAGGATCCAGGATCGCAGCAGGTTTTCTCTGCTGCAAAAGTATTTCTCAACTCTTCCGGTTTTGAAGAATGACATAAGCCAAACCAGACCAAACTGGCTCTGTATCTCATGTCGCTCTCTGTCTTTCTCTCACTCCCTCTCTCTACCCTATCCCTCTCCCTGCTGACCTTCTGAATCCGTGCCCGTCCTCCTCTTCACCGCTATGGCCGCCACCACAGCAGGAAAGAGACGGGCGTACTCCAGCAGGGAGTCCTTGTGGCAGGTGAGGGAGCTGCTGCCGTCTCCCCCCCTCACGCTCCTTCTCGTGGCCAGCCAGCAGGTTGGCCACGAGAAGGAGCCGACGTCGTTGGCCAGCAGCCACTGGAAGGTCTGGCCCCGGTACTGACTAAACAGCATCTCATCCTGCTGAGGACGAGCCGCTGGTCAGACGGGTCCCCTCCCAGCGCTGTGACCTGGGCCCGAGCGTCGGCCTCTGCCCTCTGGCCAGTTATGTGTCAGGCGACCAGATACCCGGCAGCTTATCCTTTGCGGTCAATAACTACCAGGTCTGTTGTGAAGGCTCTTTTCCAGTTTGTTTCTGTGTTCGGCATTCCAAAGGTTTTTCAGAGGGTTCAAGGCTCCAACTTTTCCTCTCACATGTTTGCACAGATTTTAAAGCAGCTTCAGGTTAGGCGCCCGCAGTCCTCAGCTTATCGTGCACAGAGTCAGGGGGTGCTGGAGCGCTTTCATCAGATGCTTAAATTGTTGCTGAGGGCTTTCTGCTGATGGGGAGTGAGTGGGAAGAGGGCTTGCCTTGGCTGATGCTGGCAGCCCAGGAGGTTACTCAGGAAAGCACTGGGTTTAGCCCAAACGAGGGAAAACGAGGAGATGTGGAGAAGGAGACGGGGAGACGCGGGGAAGGAGACGGGGAGACGCGGGGAAGGAGACATGGAGAAGGAGACGGGGAGACATGGAGAAGGAGACGGGGAGACGTTAAGAAGGAGACATGGAGAAGGAGACGGGGAAATGTGAAGGAGACATGGAGAAGGAGACGGAAGGAGATGTGGAGAAGGAGACAGGGAGACATGGAGAAGGAGACGTGGAGAAGGAGACGTGGAGACAGGGAGACGTGGAGAAGGAGACAGGGAGATGTGGAGAAGGAGACGGGGAGACATGGAGAAGGAGATATGGAGAAGGAAACATGGCGACATGGAGAAGGAGACGGGGAGATGTGGAGAAGGAGACGTGAAGGAGACGGGGAGACATGGAGAAGGAGACGTGGAGAAGGAGACGTGGAGACGTGGAAAGGAGACATGGAGAAGGAGACGGGGAGATGTGGAGAAGGAGACGGGGAGGAGACGGGGAGACATGGAGAAGGAGACGTGGAGGAGACGGGGAGACATGGAGAAGGAGACGTGGAGAAGAAGACGGGGAGACGTGGAGGAGACAGGGAGACATGGAGTCCCTACAGACATAAGTTTGCATGTCATGCCTCCTGAGATCTCCCCTCTTTCTCCTCATCCCGCTGGGAGAGAAATGTCAGAGCAACTACGGAGGATTTCAGGGGCAGATTGTCTGAAATGTTCACAAGTGCACGTGTGAAAACAGCTCTCGAGTATGAATTGTTTTGCTACACATACTTATAGAATACAATACACAGAACATAACATAAGTCCCTCTGTAAGGTAGATAGAATTTATTCAGTATTTTACATCAGCTATACAGTTAATGTGGACAGATGAGGAGCACAACATTTCAGCATAACCTGAAAATACACTGTTACAACACCTAGAAACACCCAGCGGTGCTATGACATTATATATCTCAGAGCCACAGCGTTTCAAAAAAGTGATGCTTTTTTTTTTTTTCTGTCAGGGAAACAAATTCTGCTTTGCCATCAGAGAGTACAGTATGAGGTCACAAGGAGGGTCTTAGATCTCATCCACAAAGGGAGTTTTTACGAGGTTTCCACTGGATGCCATAGTCTTCTTGCCGGACACAAATTTCTTGGCAGCCTAGGAATGAAAATAAAAAAGTCAAGAGAACTATTAATAATTTGAAATGACATTTTAACAAAAAATGAGGCAAATCGACCTGAAGTAAATGCATGGATACCAATATGACTGTAACACAGCATTGACAAGAAACAAATGTCTTACGTCTGCGACATCAGTCAGGGAAACATTGTCGATTTGTTTGGAGATTTCCTCCTGGGAGCAGTACGATCCCTCAGACAGAGCCTGACTACCCATCGCCTCCAGCAGACCCTCCGAAGTCTCCAGAGACATCAGGAAGTGTCCCTTCAGCTGAGCCCTGCAGAGAAGTGCATCATGAGCCATAATCATGCAAACTAATGAGAAAAGATTTAACTTGATCTACTTTCTAAATAACTTTTAGTATGAGAGGGAAAATACAAATTGTCAGAACATTTAATTGTTTTTGTTTCTTTGGATTATGTCATGGGAATTATTATAGAAAGAGAATTAACCAGATATGGTAAAGGTTGGGCTCCATCACAGAGAAAGCAAATGATGGCACCAAGTGGCCACTGCAGTAACTGCTTTATTAAGAAACTGGATTCAGATTTTATTTTTTTCTGTATATATTTACAAAAATGTGAAAAGAGGAATCACTCTATTGTCTAACCACAATTGAACAATATACACAAATGTCTGTGAATGTATGATTATAAAAAGAAAAAAAAGGAGAACCTGGATTCAGATTTTGAGAGGGCAAATAACTGTATACACAACACCAGCCTTACACACTTACACAATTCTACGTGTAAATTGGTAGGAATAAGAAAAGGTGCTTTTCGTAAACTTTTCCAATTGAAATAAATAATTTTACTCTTTTTTATTTTTGTGCTTTACATGCTCCCATTGTAGCTAGGACAGTGGATAGAGCAGGAAACAGCTAGCCTGGTTATGTTCAAGGTAACAAACAGTCTACATTAAGCATCCATTTGACTTAAAACATTAAATAATCAAACATCAACAGAAAACTGTTTTAAATAGTGCTTCTGTGAGACTAGTACTTATTCTTTGCACACGGCAAGGCTAGCCATTTCCCTTCGTTTGCTATCTTAATGCGAAGCTACACTAATCTGCTTCTGACAGACATGTATCTACCTATTCTAATGTTATTTCCTAAAATGTCACACAACTGGTTTCACGGCTTATTCCGTTTTAGTTACATTTCACTACATTTAAATATACAAATTTCCTTTCAACTGTAGGAGCTGCTAAGACAAAATGTTTTTTCTTTACAATTCAACAAACTTTGATGTTGTTTCATGTTAACCTAGTAAAGACTTATAATAAAATGTACTCCTCAATGCATAGTTCATAGTTCAGATTAAACAGATGCTAGTCTTACTTGGCCCGGGTGAGGTCGGCAGCTGTGACTGCTCCATCAGCAACAGCTTTGACCTGAGCGAGAGCTGCTTTGATCACCTGCAGAGACACGAGAGGACGGAGACTGCATCAAAAATATGTAACCATCTTCAGTTTTACTTTCTGCTTCACTCTTGTTGAACAGTGATAAATAAAAAAGACTCATCACAGTTGTTGGAAACTCACATCACCAGCTGCTGCAGTCTGGGAAATGGTGTAGATCCCAAATAGACCAGAGTCAGAGTAGCTCGCATTGAAAGCACTCACCTGTGAAAGACAAAAAAAAAAGACAATAGAAATGTTTATCTTTGCAGTTTAAAGGCTTTATATGTGATTTTTCACACTTAAATGTAATAGAAATCAAGTATATCCTCTGACAATAACTCTGTGAGTCATGACTGTCTACAATGGGTGTAACACCCGAGTCCCACTGTCTGTGATGTTTTCAGAGTCCTATCTTCACTTTGTTTACATCGTCAGGACAGCCGGCTGACTCCTCCCCTCGTGTATAAAAGTTGTTTAATTGAGGGACTAGAGAAAAGAAGAATAACATACTGTACTCACTGCTTAACTGTGTTTCTAGATCACGCTCATTTCAGGTAAATTTACATGCAGTGTGAAGATACCAGCATAATAAAGATCACTAGCATTAGCATGCTAACACAACAATGCAGCGCGAGTTGTTTTGGTTTCATGTTGGTGCTCAAGGGCGACATCTGCTGGATCAAAAAATCCCATATAAAGCCTTTTAGCCCTGGCATATGAACTCTTTTTTAAAAGTTAAAACTAAAACTTGAGAATCACTCACATCAAAGGGGTCAGCAGTTGCCTTGGAAACACCCTGAACCAGTTTGCTTGAGACGCAGGAGCCCCTCTTGACATGCGGACCAGCTCCCAGTAAATGCTGCAGGACACTGAAGGCCAGAGCTTCACTGCTGCCTGCTGCTGCTGACTGACTCACCACAGCTGAGTGCACCAGGCTGCTGGTGTTCAACAGGCGGATCTCACCTACAGGGAGGCGGCAGGAGAGGAGACAGAGGGGAATACAAGGCGTTTTATTTGATTGGGTAGGAAGTATTTAAGCACATGAAAAATAGCAAGCTGTTCACAGAAAACATGCAGAGTGTTTGCTACTCCAGCTCAGCTCACCTCCACGATACTGAGCCTTGGCCCCCATGGTGCCTGCCCCACTGCGGATGTTGAGGAACTGTTCTCCAACTTGCTTCAGCACCGTGTGGTCGACACCTGAAGGAAAGACGACCATCAAAAACTTCCAGGATTACAGGAGTTTCCATTTCTATTATGTATAAACACATCAAGTTAAAACAGAATCAGTTTGTTACTAAAAGGTAAAGAGGCCCTTACCGAGTCCAACAAGAGCCATTCTTGCGCTTGTGAAATTGTTCTGAACAAACTGGTGCAGCTGGAGGAAAATAAACAAGTGAAAAGAAGGCTTTAAAATGGGGCATGAGCAACAGAAATCTTAAAGAAAAAACACAGAAGAAACCCTTACATGTTCAGACTGGATGTTGCCGACCATGTGATCGGGACAGTACAGGGAGTTACAGAGAGCATTCTTGTAGGCAGCTGCATGAAGAGCTTCAACCACACCTGAAGAAGATGGAGAGAGGAAGGATCATGAACTGCAATATTATGATGTCAGAGCTCAAACCTGTGCTGTGTTCTTCACTTCAATCGTTTTATTATGTCTGTAGGGACTCGAAGATAGATTCTAGGTATTACCCCCCCTCCCCTTAATACTACAGTAAAGATGAAAAGTTCAGGTCTGCAATATTAAAGTAAGTGTGACATTATTTAGAGAAACGACCTGCCTGTAGTCAGAAAAAAGCAACAAAAAGTAAACTTCTGCATACTTCTAGGTTTCTCAATGTTATTTTGAAAACAGCAAAAAAAGGAGCACACTCAAAACTGTAATCAAATTTTAAGGTGTACAACCACAAAAAGACTACAAAGAAAACAGAGTCAGTCCACTACATGTCCTTTGAAGTACGTATTATCTGGTTAGAGCAGCAGAGTACAGATCAACAACGGAACGCGTTTCAGCACAAAGCTTCATCAGCGTTCAACGCTCAAACATGTCCAAAAAACAAAAACAGGAGTGCTTCTGGTATCCCTCAAACCATCGGTGCTCATAGAAGGAAAAAACAAAAAAGGGGGAGGAGGACTAAAGACCAAAAAACATTGGTATAAATAATCCAGGTCAAGGCACTCAGGATGGTTGAAAAATATAGAAGGCCTTTAATTCAATTCAATTAAAAAAGAAAACACCAGCGTATCGGCTTGCGCCTTCTTCAGGGTGCAGCTGAAACATGTCCAATATTGGCTGCTGCCGTCTAATATTCATCAGCATGTTCCAGTTTCATCATCGCACTTCGACTCAAATGTTTTCTATACAGCTGATTTAAAGCAGGCAGGTCTCCTAGCTCTGCTGTGACATCTTGCTACTTTCCTCTTCTTCTTTGTGTGTTTTGTTGTGTCAGCTTCTTCTTCATTTGTTGTTTATTAGCAGTTAGCAATGTGTTACTGTCTTTTTTTCTCCACTCAGACATATTTATCGTACGACTGCATTCAGTGAACTGTGACGTCTAAACTAGATAGTTCTGGATGAATACACCTACTGTTACACCCTTAATGGACACAACAATGTAAATAAAGGCATACCTGTTTGGGCACTGTGTGCAGCCTGGGCCTTGTCCATCTTCAGCCTGGGTGTGAGGTCTGACACCTCCCATGGCCTGAACTCTGGAGCCGTGGTCACGTTGATCAAATACTCCATAACCGTGTCACTGAAGAGAAACGATGGGGGGGGGGGGGGGGTAAGCAATGTTAAGTGGCGAAACTACTACTACTTCTGCAGCCCGGTCGATAACACGTTTCTTTGGACCAAACAGTTTGGTGTTTATTTCTACAAAAAGACTCACATGTCATCTCTCAAGCAGTCGACTGTGTAGCTCATGTTCTCTCTGGATGAAGTCACACTGCAAAGAAACACAAATGTTCAGATATCCAAATAAAAGACTGTGACCAAGGAAGAACGTGTAATCAATCCTGACGTTTCTTTAAAGTTACTGACCTCAGGCTGCCCCCCACTGCCTCCACACCACGGCAGATCTTGAAAGCCGAAGCTCCTTTAGTTGTCTAGAAACGTACAAAAGCTATGTTAACACTGAGCTGAGACACCATGAATTTTTCACTCAGCAACATATCTCAAAACAGTACATCAATAACACTATATTCAAACTGCTGTGACAGAAAAAGTACCTACTGGTAATACTAAATAATTAACAGTTGTTCGACATTACTTTACTTAAGTACACAAAGTATGTAGCGTCATACCAGGCTGGAGGCCAGCCGGAGGAGGTGGGTGACACCCTGGTTGTCAGGGGTCTCATAACGACAGCCGGCCTTGACGAATACTCCGATCTTAGAGGCCGGGGAATAGTTCTCAAGGGAGGCGATAACCAGTCCACTGGGCAGTCTGGTCACCTGGGCAGAAGGACACAAAATGTCCTTAAGTGTCATTTTTTAAATCGAGTGCTGGTCTGAAAAATATCCGCCATCAAGCCTGAGTTAAAACCTTAAAGGGTCCTCTATGATTATTCAACATGATGCCAATACATAAAGACAAGGTAAACAGCTAAGGCTTAAATAAGTTTCTGAAGGAATTCAAACACAAAACCATCCTGCCTAGACAAACCAACCCCAGCACAGTCCTCCTCATCACTCCCTGTACACATACATGAACGTCCTGGTACGAGTGGGCAGCCCCTGGAGAGAGCTTGAGGCCAGCCAGCGGCTGAGCAAGGGACTGGCCTGATCTGGCAGCCGCATAGGTACGTCTCTGTGGAAAAAAAAGACAAATCAACAACCACTGACCTGTACATCCTGCGGCTGAAACTTAACAGGTTCTGCCGCCCCCGCAATTTCCACCTTACGGGCCGCCTGGGCCGCGTAAAGCCTCGTCTGGAAAAACAGAGAATATGGGAAGACGGGACATTACAACTAATGTGTTGCTGGATGGTGCACTGAGGTGGGGGCAGTATTAGAAGAGTAAACATCAGGAGCATTGTGAAATAATGGGGTCAGTAAATGTTCTTTACATACTTTATTTTTTTCATCTTCGCATTCAAATAGTTGCATTCTGTCTGTTTAGTCTTTCTTGTACATAAAAGGTGTAGCTGGACACCTTTTCCTGCAGCAATACTGCTAATTACTATATATTTGCCTAATTTCAGTAGTTCATAAAGAAAAAAACAGTTCTGGTATCTATGAATGAACAAAAACTAAACAAAATCATGTCACCTAAAAAATGTCATGGCTAATGTAAGAAAAACGACAAATGATGTCAGTATCTAATCAGCATAAAACATGAAATTAGATTTGTCTTTTTCAAATACACATAGGCCTTCAAATACAAATATGACAAAATGTTCAATAATGTTTTTAGGGTGGATTGATTTATGGTTTCCCACCACATGAGTTATTTCTTTTTAATTTTTACCTTACAAGATATTCTTAGATATAGGTTGAAATTGTTAACAAAGTTCAATATTAGGGGTGCACCTCTAAATAGAAATGCACTGTAAGCACAATCCACACAACATCCAGTGGTATCGATAATACACTCTGCAGGGTGCTAACTGTTAGCTCTTTCTTTATGTTAAATACACCAAGTTAACGTGTCTGTTAACTACAGTTCAGATCAGTAAATAAGGTTTTATAAGAGTAGTTTTAACGTATAATTACCGGTTTACATTATGAAACGTTACCGGCTGCTTTAATGCCTATTATTTAAGAGCTAGTCGTGACGTCATGACAGGCTTCAGCTGACTGTTTCTTCATCACACCTGAAATGATCCTACATTTTAATTCAGACTAAGATAAAACAAAACGAACATGCAGCGTTTCTGACTTTTCCACCAAAACACACACATGTATGATAAGTTAGAGCAGTTCTTACCGAGAGTTGACTGATTCCTCGTATCCCCTTCATCTCCCCTCTCTCCTGCGGTCAGGACGATGGAGCAATATGGCTGGCGTTGAAAGTGCCCTACCCAGAATGCCATGCGACTTTGCTAAAGTACCGCAGAGCTGAGCGTGCGCCCTCTGTTGCCGTGGAGACGAATAGCCACATCCATAACTGTACGGGAGGAAAAAAACTAAATAATCTCACAGAAAATATTTCACCCCATTATATTTCCATTTAATTAAGAGTTTTTTCCTTCCCTTTACCTCATAGTAACAGTTTTCTAAATAATTGTCCGGCTAATGTTGGGCTGTTGCCTCATAAAACCTCATTACGTGAATGAAAAACAAATATTGTTGTACACACATTTATTCCTGAAATATATTCTGCAAAAAAGATGCAAGAATCATCTAAATAATGTGCTGCTATCTCTCCACAACACACCCCAAAATGTAAAATGTGATTAATTAACGAAAAGTACAAAAAAGTGAGTACAAAAAAGACAGAAAACTTAAAAACTTAAAAACTTAGCCAACATATCAAATATAAAACACAGAATAGCAACAATTAATTACCTGTTCAGATGTAAAAGAGTAAAATAAGCAGCTCTTATCACCTGCATCCAATGCAGTTTGGATTCAGATCCAACCACTCAACAGAGACAGCTAATTGCTTCTTCATTGAAAAAATCAAATCACTGCTAGATAACCGTGGCATTGTTGGTGCTGTCTTTCTGGATCTCAGAAAAGCATTTGACACTGTAAATCACAGGGTTCTTCTATCTAAGTTATCCACCTTTAATTTCTCTGCTGATGCACTTAAATGGGTAGAATCATATCTGTCCAACCGCTCTCAAAGTGTGTGAATACTTAATTATCAATCTGACGCCCTCTGCTTGTCCACGGGCATTCCGCAGGGATCTATACTGGGCCCACTTTTATTCTGCCTGTATGTAAATGACCTGCCATCTGTGTGTCTTGAGGTTAACATTCAAATGTATGCTGACGATACAGTTTTGTATGTGCATGGTTTAACAAAAGCAGAAGTTGCTTCAAAACTAACAACCGCAATGGTCAAAATTACAGCATGGCTTAATCAGTGCTGTCTCCAACTTAATGTGTCTAAAACTGTTGGTATGTTCTTCACTAAAACAAATGACTCAAACCAGATATCCGATCCAGATATACTTGTGTCAGGAGAATTCAAATACCTTGGCATTATACTTGACTCCAACCTGAACTTTAAAGCACATGTAAAAAAAAAAAAAAAAGTCTGTAAACAAATTAAATTTAACCTTGCCAACTTCAGATTTATCAGAAACTCCATGTCTACTGAAGCAGCCAAGATGTACATGCATTCAATGATTTTCTCATATATGTTACTACTGTTACCTACTGTTTGACAAGCTAGTCTCAGGGAAGTCACACCACATTAAAACCACTACAGTCTTTGTATAAACAAACAACAAAAGTTTTAGACAAAAAACCAAAGCAATTCCACCACTGTTCAATCCTCAAAAAATACAACCCCCTGAGCTGGGAGAACATGATTAAACACAAAAATGCATGCCTCCTTCATAAAATCACACATGGTTTGGCCCCTCCCCCACTCAGAGAGTTTGTAAGCATACGAACAAACACACATCACTTCATGAGGGGTGTCTCAAGAGGCGACTGCATTATTCCTCTAAGGAAGTGTGTTTTTAGTCAGTCTGCCTTTTCTGTTACAGCCTCACATGAATGGAACAACATCCCAACAGTTATCAGAGAGAGCAACACATATCTTTCATTTGGTTCAAATCTGAAACAGTGGCTATTTGAGAAGCACATCTGCCAGCACTAAACCTGTTCCGCTCGCTGCTGCCCCCTTGTGTCTGGTTGTTGATGAAGGTTATTGGATACGTGCTTTTATTAATACTTGTTTTTGTAGCTTTTAGCAATGTTTGAATTTGTTTTGTTTTTTTAGGGAGCCTTTTATAAAATCTGGACAGGGACAACAGATGAAAATTAGCCTTTTGGCTAACTCTGGCATATTTACAGAAATGTTTATTAATATGCAATGTCCCTGTAAAATAAAAAATAAATAAAAAATAAAAGATTGTAAATGAACTACATCTACAACATAACACAGTAGTGAAGATAGTAAACATGTCCAATAGTTATATTTTAACGAAATAAGAATAACAATAAATGTCTTTTCTACTGTTATTTTCCCATAGACTGGATTTTTCTTTTTTTTTTAATCCGTCTTTATTGACAAATTTAAAACATACAAAAATTGTTTATATTCTTATAGAGGATGAACATACAACAGCAACAGCCCCGCCCACTAACCATCCAAAAAAAAAAGCATTTCCTGTCCTCGCTCCGTTTTTCGCTGTTTTTCCATTGCGCATGTGCGGTACTTCACACGTGTGGTGAACGTTTGGACTGGTTGCATGTAACTGTGCTTAAGGAGTTCGTAGCATAACAAAAACATAGCTTACACAAAACCTCAATATTTTGTATTGTTTCCCTTCCATATCCAAGGAAAAGCAAATAGTCCTCCGTGAAGCATTTCGCCGAGAGGGCCGGAATACGAGAAAAACACTTCATAATGGTGAGTACTGAGTTCTGAATTAAGAGAGATGCTAACAGACAAGCTAGCTGTTAGCTAGCTATAGAAAGTAGGTTACAGAGTAAACTAACTTCACACAAGTTAGATCCTCGTGTCTTCTCACTTCATTGTATTTCTTCATTGTTGAATTGGTGTCAATTTGTCTTGTTTTTGTTTTTTTCTGTGATCAGACTGAACCTCAAGTGAACCCAAAGGCCTACCCGCTGGCCGACGCCACGCTGACCAAGACCATCCTGGACCTGGTGCAGCAAGCCTCCAACTACAAACAGTTGAGGAAGGGGGCCAATGAAGGTGAGAAAAAACATAATCATGTTGTGATGAGATGTAGACTTGATCGTCGGTTCACAGAAGGTAGCCATTTGAAAACTTGAGGCTGAAATGCGTCATGAGTGTAGCATGAAAACGTGGTGTCTCAGCGTGGTTAAGCCAAATAAACATGGTATTCTCATGTGGCTTCAATGTGCATTTAAACACCCTGATCCTTCTAAATAAAGTCACTTTAGATTATACATCTAATTATTGAAAAGCTGTAACTATTTGTCATTGAAAGAGTTAATATTATAATTATTTTTCACACTTAAATGCAAACTTTTTCTTGGTGCTTTTTGTAATATCTCAGGTGGTGCTGCCTGTTTTTAGATAATAATAATGTAATAAGATAATAAATTTAACTTTATTGTCTGTTTGACTGAAGTCTTAAAATATAAATCAAATCATAGAAATATAAAATCAAAAGGAAGACAGAGTCTGCACACCAGAAGCTGCTCCAACTAGTTTGATGAAGTTTAGCACCACTTTATTTAATATGATCCTTTTGAAAAAAAACACAACCAAATGCAGAATGTGAGATCACAATGTGCCACAGTTTAACTTTGATTGGTAGAAGCATGTTGTGTCTTTGTGTTCTGATCCTCAATCTACTTTTTTTCCCCCCCAGCCACTAAGACTCTGAACAGAGGAATCTCTGAGTTCATAGTGATGGCTGCTGATGCTGAACCATTGGAGATCATCCTTCACCTGCCTCTGCTCTGTGAGGACAAGAACGTGCCGTACGTGTTCGTTCGCTCTAAGCAGGCTCTGGGACGAGCCTGTGGGGTGTCGCGCCCCGTCATTGCTACCTCAGTCACCATAAAGGAGGGGTCTCAGCTCAAACCACAGATTCAGTCTGTCCAGACGGCCATCGAGAGACTGCTTGTGTAACTTTTTGTTGCACTGTGATATATTCTCATAAAAAAGGAGACTACTTCCTGATGGAAAAATATTCTTTACTCTTATGTTATGTACGACAAGACAGTGAACCTTTTTTTTTTTTTACTTTGTAGGACGGTTGGTCCACTTCAGTGTATCAGTTTGCCATGGCATGTTCTGATTCATAATAAAATCCTTTTTATTTAATCTGTGGGTTTTGTTCTTTGAATTCATAACATTGTTTTGATTTATATTATCAGCATTATAAATACATCTTCGAGAATATCACATACTGTCAAACACAAGTTGAACTGTATAAAGCCTCAAAACTAGCCCTGATATTTGAAGTGTTTACAAAATGAAACTTACATATTTTCTTTATAACAGTGAAGTTGCAGGTATATAGGTTTAACTATAGAAATGTATTTTCTGTATTCTCAAATCTATTTCTTGAAACATAAGTGCCTCAAGATGTAAGATTTAGTTGCATAAAGGTACTCGTGTTCTTTTTCACCGCTCATCTATATACATATGTGAACCTGAAGAACACAAAATAGTATTTTGCTTTATAACAAATGTATTTTATTTTCCATTAAGTTACTTACTTAATACTCCAGTATTGTGCCAAATAAATACCAGCCCATTTCTAAATTCTGGTCAAAAAAAAAGATGTACCACCTTGATACTGAGCCCCTCCAATCCTATAAAGTCAATAAATACTGTATGTGTATATATATATATATATATATATATGTGTTACTTAAATTACTTATGTGGCGCTTAAAACATAGTAACTTGTGGAAACAAGATAATTACATGTGTAATTATCGCGTGCAATATAATATATAGTTTTTTTCTTTTTGGGACTTCAGGGCTCGGTAGATGCTTTCTTTATATTCTGCATGTAGGCCTATGTTCTTTTTCTCTAAGAAACATTTGATTTAAAGCCTGCCCTCCTGTGAACGCTCCCTTACCAACGTGTTTAAAGAGCCTTTTTGCTGCTCTTGAACGCAGCATGGACCACCAGTCGGCCAACATGAACTTTAGACAAACATTTAAAGGCGTACCACCCCTCTTGAGGAGCCACACGGTACTCATCTGAATCAAACAGAAGTCATGGCTGCTCCACCTGTTGTCATTTGGGAGGATGAGGTGGCGGAGCTGCTGCTTTACAGAGAGCTGATCCCGCGGCTGGAGGAGGCTTTGGGGAAGTTCTCCAGGCGGGACAGCGCGGAGGTGATCCAGCCTGTGCGCACCATTATTCCCCTGCAGAAACATAACGGGTAGGCCTACATCTCAATCTAAAGTTTGACAACTGAACGAGTTATTCCAGTTGATACAACAGAACAAATAGCACACGATGCTTTTGCTTGCTGCCGCGCTGTCACTTTTGCAGCTTCCTGGGTTTGATGCCTACATACATGGAGAACGATGGTGTCCTGAGCACAAAGTTCGTGTGCTTCTATAAGAGGGGGGACGATTCAAATTTACCTTCCACACAAGCAACAGTGGTGCTGCTGGATCCTGAGTATGGGAATGTAAAGGCTGTGAGTAAAACTAATCACTCACATTAAAATACTGAAAAATGGCAGATTTATATCACAGCATGTCTTCCAACCTGCAGGTCATGAATGGAGAGGTCATCACGAGAATGAGGACAGCTGCAGCTTCAGCCATCTCTGCTAAAGTTTTTTTTGTTTTTTTTTTAAACATCTACTCAAACTATTCATTAACAAATCTTACTCTGTTCTTCTAACTTTGTCCCACTTCTGTTTGTTTGTTTTTTTTGTCTTACAGTTGTTGATGCGTCCTGAAGCGGAGGTTCTGGCCATATTGGGGACCGGCAATCAAGCTCTGAGTCATTACAGTGTCTTCACAGAAATATTTTCCTTTAAAGAGGTAAAATGACAAAAAATATCAGATGCCTGCCACTCATGACAATTTAATGATGTCCACAAGTCAGATAAATAATAATAACATGATGTCCATTTTTAATGAAAAGGACTGATAAGGTGTTAAAAGAAAAAGAGATATAGGAAAATCTTACTTTATGAACTTAAGATCAAGCTATAGACTATAGCTTCATATTTTGGCTTTCTTTCCCAGCGTTCAAAGAGACAATTGAACAACATTTTCATGCATGCACTTTATATAAAACACTTTACTGGAGCCAAAGGAGCTTACCTTTCCCTGACCCTAATTCACACATGTTCAGCTCAATAGATTACACTTTTGAACTTCTTTGATTGAATTCTACAACAAACAATGCATTCATTAATTCAAACTTTATTTCAATCTCAAAAATCATTGAGGGCATGCCCTAATTTTCAATTATGTCGAGAACAAAACAGAACACGTGCACAAACAAAATAAATACAAATAATGGCAACAACACAATTAAATACATTTACATTTAAAGGCAGAGTAAACTGACCCAAAACCTAAAAGTGTGTGAAGTTTGAAAGTCTGTTGTAAAGTGTTTCATGTGAATGCAGCAGTGAAGCTAAAAGCAGTGTGGACCTTGAGCGTCAGCCAATTACTGGAATGTGTTGACTATGAGATGTGATATATGGTGGCATTTTGCCAATAAAGGTTTTATAAATAAAATATAACAACTGCCTGTTAAGTCTTACAGTTAGATGTGCCCAGCCCACAAAATGCAATGCTGTGTGGATTAACTGTCACCTGTAATGAATGTGTAGTGTTGTTGGCAAAGCATGACAGGACTTAATGAGTCAGACCTGTTTTTGGCAGGCTGCAGAGGTTTTCTAATGTATCTGGCAAATTAAAGGTTGTGCTGACACTTCAAGAAGTTAAACAGTAACAGTAATAAGAGTTCAACAGTTGGCCTGATTCTGCTTGTTAAAATAGATAAGACATTACCACTAAACCTGTTCAGTGATAAACTATAAATCTAGCTTCTCTTAAATCTACTCTACCTAACTGTACTTCATGTCTGCTTTATTTACTAAGATTTAAAAAATGCCCCTTGTACAAACTGACTTTATGTTGAAATCATTGGTAAAGTTATACGACAAGACATCAGTAGACTTTGATCTGTCACCTTTCAAAATGGCTTCTCCACTCTGTCTTGAGGTGTCAAGCTAAGCTAACCAGCTACTGTCTGTAGCAGACATGGGAGGCGGTATTGATCATTTCCTTCAAAACTTCTGATCAAATAAGTGTCCTTCCCAAAAAGATAACCTACTCAACCAACAGGAAAACTATTTAAAGCGATACAAATCACTTTGTAGCCTTGCTATGTTCAAACAACGTTGTTTAATCCCGATTCAATTAAATCACTACAGACTAGGGATGTACAGATTAATCGTAAAATCGTGATAAATCGATTCAGCGGTGTCAAGATTCACATCGGTGCTCTGAAAAATGAATCGCAATAATTTGGTGAGCATCAGCGGCTGTAGAGCGACCTTTTGAAATTGAGGACGCACCAACGTCTTTTAAGATGTGGGAGCATTTTGTCTTCCCAAAGACAGAAAATGAAAGAGGTGAGAAGATGACAGCACAACCAACATGATGCAGCATTTAAAGGCTTTATGTGATTTTTTGATCCAGCAGATGTCGCCCTTGAGCACCAGCATGAAACCAAAACAACTCGAGCTGCATTGTTGTGTTAGCATGCTAATGCTAGTGATCTTTATTATGCTCGTATCTTCAGACTGCATGTAAATTTACCTGAAATGAGCGTGATCTAGAAACACAGTTAAGCAGTGAGTACAGTATGTTATTCTTCTTTTCTCTAGTCCCTCAATTAAACAACTTTTATACGTGAGGGGAGGAGTCAGCCGGCTGTCCTGGCGATGTAAACAAAGTGAAGATAGGACTCTGAAAACTCTGAAAACATCACAGACAGTGGGACTCGGGTGTTACACCCATTGTAGACAGTCATGACTCACAGAGTTATTTTCAGAGGATATACTTGATTTATATTACAGTTAAGTGTGAAAAATCACATATAAAGCCTTTAATCGACATCACAACGAGAAGCTCCAATCACCTCCCCTTGTTGAGAGAAAAAAAACAGCCCCTAAAGGAATCTTTTTCAGTCATCATTTGTCTCAATAGTCTAATTTTGTAAAATAAATCATCAGAGAATCGTATCGTGATTTAATCATTACATCCCTACTGCAGACATTAGAATACAGTTTGTTTTGATACACCTATCATGTTTTGTCCTTGCACATGCTGACATACTTCCCCTGGATGTTTTCCACAGGTGCGTGTGTGGAGCCACACGAGGGAAGGGACAGAGAGGTTTTGCAAATGTGTCAGTGGTCCAGTGAGGGCATGTGTCTCAGTGGAGGAGGCGGTGAGGGGAGCAGACGCCATAGTTACAGTCACAAGATGTACAGAGCCGGTGCTGTTTGGTCAGTGGGTCAAACCAGGAGCTCATGTAGCAGGTGAAAAGAAAGAATTCACACATTTATTAAGAAACATCATTTTTTTAAATTCTAGTAATACTACTAATAATGTGTTGTTTTTTTCTTCTATTTTTCTCCCTGTTGCTGAGCAGCGGTGGGAGCCTGCAGGCCAGACTGGCGGGAGCTGGATGACGTGCTGATGAAGGAGGCCGTGGTGTACGTCGACAGCAGGGAGGGAGCGATGGCCGAGTCTGGTGACATCATCCTCTCTGGGGTCAGTTGGTCAGGGTGATCATTTTTTGTGTAATGGATCCTTTTTGCAGAATTTGTGAATACAAATTTGGATCGTTGATGTAATCGTCAGGCTGAAGTGTTGGCGGAGATCGGAGAGGTTATAAATGGGACAAAACCTGCGTACAGAGAGAAGACCACCGTGTTCAAATCCCTCGGTAAGACCTACCCGAAGTAGAATTAGTCCTTCTCATTTAGAACGTTTTTTTGTTCAGCGTATTCACTGTAACTTGTTTTGTTTCTCACAACAACAGGAATGGGAGTTGAGGATGCGGTGTCTGCTAAGCTGGTGTTTGACCAATGGAATGCAAAAGCCAGCAAACGATGAATTGTGTTGGTATTTCAGCTTGGACCATCGAGAGTACAAAACACTGCACACTTTGATCAAGCACACAAAAGATTAGGGGAAAAAAAAATCAAGATTAAGGCAAAATATGAAAAGACGGGATCAAGCCCAAATTTATGATTCAGTTTATTTCTCCTGGAGAAAGAATGCTTCTGCTTTAAGACCTGATGATTCAGCTGACAATATTACCATATTCTCACTTTCTGTTTTTGTGTAAACATTAACAATAAGGAAAAGTTTGTCAGTTCCCATGCTACTTAACTGATGCTTACCACGGTGGTCATTTTACGATTTATCTGGACACATGAATGCTAGCATGCTAGCAGGTGATGGGGTCAGTCCATAGGGTCAGCCCTATGTTCCCACATTTCTAGGACATTTTCAAAATTATGTCTTATCATATTTAAGCACTGTCAATTACCTATGTACATTTATGTCTATGGGCGCACCAGATTTAGCTAAAAGCTACATTCCATCTGTAGTCCATTGCTACTGGATAATAGGTTGGGTGTAATTGGCTACACAATTGGGAGAAAGGAGGAAATGTGGGAACATAGGCACGCTCCCCAGGTGATCATCTGTCACAGTACGGGGAAATCACTTAATGGTTACACTGGTTATCTCTAGTTGGTGTGTTGGCTTGAAAGCTTTGCACTGACACTTAAATTAGCATGCTGAAGTCTAATTTTTTTTTTTTTTAACTAGCTGATCTTATGATGTGTTAGCATGCTCAGAATTACAATCATGCACCAAACACAAAGTACTAGCATGTTTGGTGTCTGAGTCACATATGGACCTACTTACAGCTGAGGAAGTGATCAACAGACATCACCTTTCAAGCGTCCTAGTGTGGCTAATAATGTAAACTCTTACTAGATTTGTCTTCTTACGCGAGATGATGTTATTGTTTTCTCTTCATTCATTAGGATAAACTTATCAGCTCTTTTCAGACATGCCGTTGGGAAATGGACACATCACCGTTTGGACAGTAGAGATAAAATACAACAAAGCATTTGATATGAGTTTATTTGCTTTTCTTATCAAAATCGGCATTTTACAAAATGAAAGCTCGAAATTAAACCCAAGTGTGCATTTTGTACTTTTCAATAGAAAAGTCGATCAGATGAGTCTAGAATTACATCAGCTTTGATCATTGCTCATTAAAAAAAACTAACATATGTGTTGAAAAAGTTAGTGTTCATGGTTTTATTGTACAAGACGTGAAATCAGATGCAACCTTTGAGTGCTGAGACACTGGCTCGACTTCATAAAAACAGATGATGTGGTGTCCCATCTGTGAAAGCAATATGAACAAGTGATGATTTAGCAATGATATAACCGTGACAGTGACCATTAATGAGTAAGTCCAACACTAGCTGACCTCCATCTTCTTATACCTGACAGTCAGTCCAAAAAACAGTGACTGTGTTCACTTTAACACAAAGAAAAAAATGATGGATCAAACTAGGAAGCTGTTAGAAACTAAAGATAACCTGTTGAAAATCTAACTGCTTGTTAGGTGATTTCTACTTCTCTCAGTAGCTGCTACAATCACTTTGAGCCATCAATGGGTTAAATTATCTCTAAATGATGGTGTCTTGGATCATGAAAAAACAACATTTTATGAAAGAAATTTAAAAAGCGTAGTGTTCATGGAGTGACTTCAAAGTGATGACAGTTGACTGAGTTTTGGCAACACCTCAGACCAAGTCAGATGACGCATGTAAACAAAACAGTTAAGTCGACCACAGCTGAGACAAAAGACTGACCATGACACAAAGGAGACATAAGAGCTTCTAAAAGAAAAAAACCTAAAAAAAACAGTTTTTTTCTAAACTTTAAGTTTCATCAAGGCAGCAGGAATCTCTTTAGTGTGTAGGGGAGAGAGAGTGTAGTGCAGGAAATCCTTCTCTTCTGTTATTAAGTCTACACTAATGTGGTAAAAATCATCTTCACGTAGTGTTTCTTCACAATGTCAGAGGACAATGATGAGTGTTATTTTTTAAAACCTCCCTCTTGTTCCTTATGCAAACCCTGATCCCATCAACCCCACCCCGCCCCCAACCCCCACCCTCACAATCCCCAAGGCCTTCGCAAAGTCACTTCATTCCTGTCCATCTGAAAGCACTTAATAAATGTAAGCAGGTCAGACAGAAGACCATCAGTGCTGTTTAAATCTCTGAAGTTCTTTCAGACAGAAGTCGGATCTACCAAAGCTTCTACAAAAGCAAGGACACGGGGGGTGAACAGATAATTGGAGGAACCCAGCCATCTTCCCTTTAAAAAGGAGGCGACTTCTGACTTCACCGCAGCCATGTTTTTCTACTCCCTGTGGTTCTTTCATTACAATAATGTGCACTTTCTCTTCCTCTTCTTGACGGGCGGGGGGCACAGGACCGCCCGGATGGCTTCATCAAACACTGTCTTCAGGCCACGCTGTGTCAAAGCTGAGCACTCCAGATACTTCACTGAATCTGGCAGGAAAAGAAAACAAAGAAAGAGTCTGCAAATGAGCTCCTTTTTGGTTTGCATGACATAAAAATAGAGTCCAACAACAGAATTATAAGCTTGAGTATGACTATGCAATCCAAACTCAAGACTAAATACTGATGTTACAAAAGGCTGCTCAAGGTTTCAAACCAAATAGAGCCTTTAATTAATTTATAAGGGCACACTCGCTCGTTTGTTTGACTAGTCGGAGTGCTCCTATCCGTACACTTCCTCGGCCCTGGCCTGCCTGGAAGGGGTGTGCTTCGGCACAGTACACTTCATGAATGAACACAAGCACAGGTACACAACGAGGACAGCCTTCATTATCGAGAAATCCCAGAGTGTTTTGTCTGTTTCTGACTAAAATGACTCAAAATAAGACAATACTTGTAGTAAAAACATCCTAATCCAATAAGATTATCTTGAACTATCAATCCATGTTTTATTTGTAAACTGACTTATTTCCTTCGCCATGGCCAATCCCTGGGGGTAGATAATAGGGGAGAGTTTCTTCTCCTTTAGTTTTTCGATGGTATCCTTATCGTCTCTCAGGTCCAGCTTGGTGCCCACCAGAATGATGGGAGTGTTGGGGCAGTGGTGTCGCACCTCTGGGGACCACTGGGGAAGGAGAGACAGAGAGAGAGAGAGTGAGAGAGAGGGGGGAGAGAGAAAGAGGGGGGGGAGAGAGACAGAGAGAGACACAGAGAGAGAGGGGGGAGAGAGAAACAGAGAGAGGGAAGAGAGAGAGAGAGGGGGGGGAGAGAGAAACAAAGGGGGAGAGAGACACAGAGAGAGAGAGAAACAGAGAGACAGAGAGGGAGAGAGACAAACAGAGAGACAGAAGGGGGAGAGAGAGAAACAGAGAGACAGAGAGGGAGAGAGACAAACAGAGAGGGGGGAGAGAGAGAAAAAGAGGGGAGAGAGAGAAAAAGAGGGGAGAGAGAAACAGAGGGCGGGAGAGACAGAGAAAAAGGGAGGGGAGAGAGAGAGAGAAGGGGGCGGTGTCAGAGGCATCAGGATGCAGACGGTGTTAAATGTGGATGGATTTCTAAAATAGTAGATTGCTCTCTAGATTTTGGAGTTCTTATCCAAACTCATTATGATGTGACCTTTGAGGAACTCAAGGACAAGAAAACACAAAAGTCTACCAAGAATGAACAATCATCAGCCCTTCAGTTACATCGGTTTGACCGTTAAATATCTAGCATTTTTATCTTGACCTACGACCCTGATATTGTAACTACAACTAAAAATAATGTTTGTGATTTATCAGGGGACAGAGAGCTCCATTACCTAAACATAAATCAAGTCCCAGTTTTGGCTCTCTGTGAAAATCGAATAAATTGTTTGTCTATCCAGTGCACTCTGACTCTAACACTTTCAGTTCAGTTTACTCATGTTAACGAACATCAGAAGTTAAGCAGGTTGTTCTCACCTTGGCACGGACGTTTTCAAAAGAGGCTGGACTGACAAGTGAAAAGCAAATCAGGAACACATCCTGAGGGGAGGGGGGAAATGACAAATCACAATTGAGCAAACAAAAGAGAATAATCACATCAAACTTTAAATTCATGAAAAACATTACAATGCTGAAGGAAAACACACCACACAGACCCCAAATGTTCAGAAATGTGTACACAAACAAAACCTAGACTAATCTGGAATATGTAGGTTTAATACAAACTCTGATTTTCTGTTCCCTGTGAGTCTCTGGTACAGAGGCCAGTTTGTTGGGAGGACAAAGGTGCAAACAAAAGCTCCCTTTCACTTCCTCTTGCCGTCCTCCAGACAGTGTATAGGTACTATGGATACTGGGCTCTACTCTGCAGAGTGTAAAGACTCCGTCTACAGGCCAGTGAATAACTCCAAATCAATGCTGACAATGTGAACACAGTGTACTTGCTAACATTGTCTGGCTGATACTGGTCTTAGTGGTCTGAGACACACAGTTGTCCCCAGTCTTCATGAATGGTGTACATACTGTTTGTGGGTAGGACAGAGGCCTGAGCCTGTCGTAGTCCTCCTGTCCGGCTGTATCCCACAGGCCCAGGTTCACTGGTTTCCCGTCAACCATCACATTGGCAGAGTAGTTATCAAAGCTGTGTGGAGCAAGGTGAAGATGAGCTTTCAAATGAATCATACTATGATAGAAAACAGCGTCATGTATGATGTAGTAACCAGATAAAGTACAGCAGACATGTGGGCAAATTTCTCAATTTTGAGATCGCAGTCTCAAAACTGATTAACTTTGTGTGATAGCGGTGTGTGTGTGTGTGTGTGTGTGTGTGTGTGTGTCTTACACTGTGGGGATGTACTCTCCAGGGAAGGCATTGGTTGTGTAGCTGATGAGGAGGCATGTTTTCCCCACAGCCCTGGGAGGAGAAAAGGAGAGGAAGAAAGACAGAGAAAATTAAATGATAAGAAAAGCTTGATTTACAGTTTGACAATAACGTTACACTTTAAAGTGAAACTGTAGTTATTTGAACCTTGTCTTGCTCGACAGGTTCATGGGTCCGACAAGCTCTGTTTAACCCGCGTTGCCTGACTTGACCTGTTTAAATCGAAATAAGCTTTAAGCCTTTTTCCCTGAAATTTTTCCCTTTTTTTGTCAACACTGGGTTTCTGCATTTACCAGGTCCTTCTTAAACTGTCAAACACTCACACGTCAATTTATTTATTGACAGATACTATATAAAACAATCGTTATGTTTAAGGCAGGGGAAATGTGCGTGCTGTCTCAAAGCTTTAAATTAAAAGCTCAACAAAACATAATTAAGGTATGTTATTCTTTTGTGATTTGATCTGTATTGCATAGTTTATAGTTGGTGTTAAATACTTTTCCTACAAATGTAACTTTGCCAGTTCTTATCTTCGGTTCAAGAGACGAGCAGTGACCAGACTGACCTCTCTTTATGGGTGACACAGTTAGTGCTAGGGGTGTGACCACAATCTATAATAAAAACAATGACACTGTGTCAATGGTTGACATGAAAAATAGTTTATGGTCTTAACTGGATATAATCTGTTACAGCTCCCACAGTACTAATGTCAATATATACTACTTCCCAGATGTCAAAATGAAACCTCATACAGTAAGCTGTTCAAGCACATCTTAAAACATAATGCCATACCAGAAATAAAACATGTTTGTTATATATTTTTAAATGTATTGTTCAGTTTAGTTTTCTTTAGTCAATAGCTTACTCTATTATCTAATTTGTACATTAAAGACTTGAAAGAAGAACTATTTTACAATAAAAATGTTGAAACTGTTAAAACATTTTGGTCATTTTAAGGCTGGACAGGAATGACGTTTTTGGTAGGTATGATTGTGTTTATTCTAAGTACCGGTAATTCTGTATAAAAATGTATCTAGTAAAAATATTAAACATTTGCTTGAGTATATTCACACTGGCCCGACTATAAGTTGCTTTCTTTGGTTTTAAGTTGCCGAGTGGGACATTGTTGTGATTTTGATATTCCCTACAATAGAAGATTAAATATAAAGTTGTTTTGTGTAAATTTAGTATTTGACACTTAAACACTCAAAGGTGCAATAAGAGATAATAAGTGCAATAAGAAAACATGTTTATATTTTCATTTCATTGTACAGTGTTCCCCTTTGT